GGGCGACTAGCTAAATAGGCCATGAAATTGGGAGAACATGAAATTACCTTCAAACCCCGCACTAGCATCAAGGCACAAGTACTATGAGACTTTATAGTTGAAATAACATGTCATAAGGAGGTATCATTAGTAGGGAACACGAAAAATAAAGATGCAGACATAGAGCATGCACGAAATAAGCAATGAAAGTTATATACCGATGGATCTTCTTGTGTTGAAGGGGTAGGGGTCGGTTTGATATTAATAAGTCCAATAGGAGAATAAATAACATATGCTCTAAGGTTCGACTTCCCGACGTCAAATAACGAGTCAGAGTATGAAGTACTTATCGAAGGATTACAATTGGCTATTAAAGTAGGTTTCCGACACATACATGCCTTCATAGACTCCATGGTCGTCTCTAAACAGACTAACATCTTATACGAGATTTGGGGGAAAAACTCGCATAATACACATACAAAGTGAAGGCACTAACAAAGTAGTTTGTAAACTTCAAGTTAGAACATATACCAAGATCAAAAAACAAAAGAGCGGACGCATTGAGCAAATTAGCATCCTCAACATTCCCGCATTTAACCAAGAAAGTGTTAGTGGAAATAGTCCAAACCAAAGCAATAGAGGAAACATTGGTGGTGTCAATGGTAGAAGAGTCAAATGACAGGAAGAAAGCGATAATTAAATATTTGTTGGAAGGATAATTACAACAAGATGATAAACAAGCCCGAAAATTGCGAATCAAGGCACCATCTTTTGTGGTGCATAATGAAGTGTTATACAAGAAAGGATACTTAGCACCACACTTATGTTGCGTAAATAGCAAGGAAGCAGAATAACTCATAAAAGAAATGCATGAAGGTATCGCAAGAGTACATAAGGGTGCGCGAACAATAGTGAGGAAAATAGCGAGGATAGGGTACTACGGGCCAACCATGTACCAAGATACATAAAACATAATCTATAAATGTGAAATATTTCAGAAGCATGCACCGAACCCGAGGAAATCATCTACGCTAAGTGGGGCATAGACATAGTGGTGTCATTCCCAAAAGCACAAAGGAAGGTGAAGTTCCTAGTAGTAGAAATAGACTACTTCACCAAATGGGTAGAGGTAGAACCACTGGCAACGATAACTGGAAAAACAATATTATACAAATTCTTTTGGAAGCAAATCATTTGCCGATTTAGGATACCCACACACTCATTTCAGATAACGGTACCCAATTCGCAAATAATCCTTTCCGGGAATGGTGAGAAGACCTTAGAATCAACCATAAATTTACTCCGGTGGCGCATCCAGGAGCAAATGGGAAAACGGATGTCACAAACAGGATGATATTGCATGACCTAGCGACAAGACTATACGTAGCAAATAGGAGATGGGTCAATGAATTGCCAAGCATGTTATGGGCATATCGAAACACAGCACGAACCGCGACAAAGGAAACACCGTTTAGTTTTGTTTATGGATTAGAAGCGGTAGTACCACTAGAGTTGATTATCCTAACAAACCGAGCAACGAACTTTAACGCAGAAAATAATAATCAGGATTTGCGAACAAACATAGACGTATCCATGGAACGGAGGTGAATGGCAGCAATAAGGTAAGAGCATTATAAGAAGTAGACGGAAAATCATTATAACCAGTGCGTTAGGGGTAGATCTTTCAAGATAGGTGAGCAAGTGCTATAAAATAACAGAGGTATTAGACAAGAGTCGCAAGGGAAGCTAAGACCAATATGGGAAGGCCCATACAAAGTTCAAGAAGCAAATAGATACAGGCCGTACATTTTACAGACAATGGGGGGAGAGATAGTACCAAGGTACTGGCATGTAAAAATCCTAAGAAAAATCTACATCTGGACAGATAGAAAAACGAAGGAATGTAGAAAGCTATAAGCTAACAAGAAAGGAGGAACAAGTTCGACCGCTATCTATATTTAAGATTAAAAGAGAAAAAAATGGGAACAATTGAAAGAATACACTGATTCTGTAAAACCATGTAACTCGGTCAGCCGACTACATCCATATAAAGGTCGAGTACTACACTCCGACCTAGGCTACCTGCTTAGCCAAGGAATACACTTATTATTTAAAAACCATGTAGCTCGGTAAGCCGACTACATCCATATAAAGATCGAGTACTATACTCTGACCTAGGCTACCTGCTTAGCCAAATAATACGCTTATTATCTAAAACAATGTAGCTCGGTCAACCGACTACATCCATATAATGGTCGAGTACTACACTCCGACGTAGACTACCTACTTAGCCAAAGAATACACTTATTCTCTAAAACAATGTAGCTCGGTCGGCCGACTACATCCATATAAAGGTTGAGTACTACACTCTCACCTAGGCTACCTACTTAGCCAAAGGATACACTTATTCTATAAAACCATGTAGCTCGGTCAGCCGACTACATCCATATAAAGGTCGAGTACTACACTCCGACCTAGGATACCTAATTAGCCAATGAATACATTTATTCTTTGAAACCGTGAAGCTCGGTCAGTGCAACTACACTAACATGAAGAATATGTATATATATATATATATATATATATATATATATATATATATATATATATATATATATATAGGAGTAGGATCAAATGAGAACACCTAAAAGGTTGAGAACGCGAGAACAGATGACAACCTTGTAAATAATTAGATCTATGGCTATTATTAATTGGACCATTTATGAACATTTATAAAACTGATGTGCTAAATATGTAACTTTGAAATGGCAAAAGGGTACAATAGGAAATCCATATAATTTAATTAAATAGAAATTCCTATAATTTCTCTCTCTCTCTCTCTCTCTACTTAACTAAAACTCTAATCTAATTATTTTGAAAAAACCGGCCGCACACCCCTACCTTCTTCACCACTGTTTGCGTTCATCGTCTTCCTCCATCCTCCATCTTCGACCATCACACAACCACCATCTTTGAGCACCATCTTCTACCTAGGGTTGTATCAATAAAATCGAATCCTCCTGCTCATCATCTCACGCCACAACCATCTTTGAGCACCATTAAAACCTGTTCATCATCCTCATCATTTTGCACGACAACCTTAATCATCGTATGCAACGCCGACTGAAAGTGACTATCGAAGATGTGATGAAGCCGAACAATCTCTTTGATGTTTCTCTGCCAGATCTTCAATGGAGATGATATATAGAGACCGATTGCGACAAAGAGACATATACAAAAACCGATTGCGACATCAAAAGACGTGGAGGCCAGTCGTAGGCGACGCAATCTAATGTGCCGATAGCAGCAAATGGTGTTCGTAATCTGGTTGGATAGCCAGATTAATTCCCGTTGTTTTCTTGTTCCGAATTTGAAGGTAACCCTAGAATTTTTAGGCTTTTGATTTTGGATTCACTGTCCCCCTTAAAGTTCAGTTTTTTTATAGTTTCCTGAAATCAGATTACGAACACCATTTGCTGCTATCAAACCAGATTACGAACACCAGGTTTGTTTATTGGGTCCAAATACAAGACATATGAATTTGTTCATTGATCTATTCATCAATGAATAAGTAAAATTGGCTTAAGACGTTAAGCTCTTTTTTTAACTAACACTTTATTCATTTATGAATAGTGAATATCATAGTCTGACTTATTATATTACATTATTTTTTTCACTCATGTCTTATTCATTTATAAATATTGGGTTTTTATGTTGATACAGATACAATAGCTTGATCAGACAAAAATATACACATAGAAAGAATGCTATGGAAAAGGGAAGTCGGGTGACACAAAAGATTAAGGCGGTCTGAGAAAAATCATCGCCGGACTACCACGCCTCTGTGACCCATCGGAGATCCACAACGAATCAATCTCTTTAACCGAGGAAGCCAAAGCCGATACCATATTAGAAATTCTTTGTCTTTTAACAGTGTTTTCTATTCAATTATGACTAAATGTGTATTCATTAGTGATTAAATGTGTATTTAAATGTATTCATAAGATTAAATGTATATTCATTAATGATTGAAGCAATTCATATTTAGATGTTTTGATTTATGTGATGTTTCTTTAATTGTGTTTTATTCATTTATGAATATAAATTAATTCATCTATTCATTCAAGATTATTACCGGCTTCATATATGACTACAAATATATATTTATTCATGCATGATTACTAATATTCGGATAAAATGATTAATGCGTCAGTATTTTTGATGTGGTTGGTAAAAAAAAACTTAAAGCAAAAAAAAAATAAGGTTTTTTTTAATATATGCTAAAAACGTTTTTAAAATCATTTTATTGATTTTGTTAATTAAAAATAGATTATATAAGTTCCTAATATTTGGGTAAAAAATCTATTAATCATATTAAATCCCATGATTTTAGGAAGTAATTAATTACTCATAAATTATCCATAATTAATTATATTGTAAAATTCATTTTATGCCCTTATATGATGATTGGTTCAAAACTGTTCTCGTGTTCTCAACCTTTTAGGTGTTCTCATTTGATCATTTCCCTATATATATATATATATATATATATATATATATATATATATATATATATATATATATGTCGATGCATAGGCCGCCTACTTAGCACAAAAATAAGGGCATTCCCTAGAAAAAGGTCAAACAATCGTACAAACGTCAAAATCACCAGAATCCGACCACATGTGTATGTGGCAACGCAGTTAGAATCTCATTTTAAGGAAACTTCGTAAATATGATAACATTTTGCAAAGAGCAAAACATGCAAAATACAAGTTTTACACTACAAAGTTCCCAACAACGAAACAACAACAAATAAACAAAAAATTTCAGATAACCATATTATAGCATGAGGTTTGGTTACACTCACAAGCAAAGGTTAGACCATTGCTTGCAACAAGGAAGATCATAACCGACCCATATACTGAGGATTACAAATATTTGGCTGCAAGCTGAGCACGGAGGACGTCATTTTCTAGAAGACATGCCTCATAATCTAATTCTAAGAGAGTCCTTTGATTCTATAACATCATAACCTTATCAACAACATCACGATACCGACTATACAAGTCTGCATGCATTTCGTCGGCGTTAAATAACATCTCCTCACCTGCAAGCTTCATACCCTCCGAGGCTCGTAAGCTAACCTCGAAAGAGAAAATATCGATCTTGCAAAGTTAACAACCCATCAAAAAATTTTGATTCTTTTCCAAGTACTCTGCATATGATATTCTCAACACAAGCAATGGAATGACATGCTTCATTTAGCTCCTCTTGAAATTAAATGCATGAAGGACAACCTTCTACACAAGAAAAGCAATTTATTACAGTCATATTAACGTCTAACACAAACAAAATACATATATGTATCAGAAATAACGACCGCGGTAAGAGAATTATGAGGCGAGGGTGGAGGAGACACGCATCGAGGCCATCTCGAAACATCACACAAAAAGTGCTCAAACTGATGAGGTGTTAAAGGCCGCTTGCGCTTGCGACTATGAGGAAGAGCACTCATGGAAGCAACATCCATAGGGCTAGAAGATTCAATATGTGATGGAACGACCAAAGAAGGGCAATAAGTTCCCAAAAGCTGAATAATAGAGAAAGCATCCGATCTAAACCCGGGTAATCTTAAAGGCGACCTAGAAACCACAGCCACCGGGTCCACATCCTTATCCGTAATAACAATTTCCAACATAATGGCTTGGGGAGGAATGTCACCGGACAAATATGCAGTCAATTGAAACGCGTATTTACTACCATCTACGACATTTAATGAGCAAAGAGAAAATGTACAAGAAACAACATTTATATCAAGAGAATGTGTAACACTGACAAAGGAAGAAGACTTACTAAATCCAGTAAAAGGTATAAATAACCACCAACATGTATGACGAACAACTAAAACTGGAAATTCACTGCAAGCTTTCCAATAAAGGCTCATGCGACATAACGCAAGTACAACCTCTGGAAAGAAAGATATTTGTACACAGAAACATGAAAATAAAGGTATATATCAGAATAACTCGTTGGTTAAGGATACCGAGTCATCAACGAGAGGCACGTGGCCAGGTGCGAAGGGAAGGCAAAAACTATGAAAATCCACCCAATAAAACTTGCTCTTCCACCCGCCGTAGGCGCCAGATAGATCAGGAGCAAGATTGAAGTGACGACTACTGAAGGAGTACCAGTCACCATATCTCTTCAGACGATAAAAGTAGCGAAACAAAACAACATTCAAAGGAATATGACGATATACACATAAAGCCTCAAAGGTCAACACTTTTGATACATCATTCGGACAAAGCTGTACTGGATGAACTTTATAGAAGCATAGAACTTCCAGAAAGAAAGAAGAAGGACTAGGAAAATCCTTATTGGAAAACTAATACAAGCATAATCCTAAAGCAAAATCTTGAACCCTTAATGAAAATAAAAGTGACCAGCAAAATCCAGAAACTATATCAAATTAAAACTCATGTAACCAAAATTGAAATTGATTTATGAAGATAAGGACTTCATAAAAAGAAACCAAAATCAGTTTATGGTTAGAGAATCTATAGATAGGTGGTGGGTTTGCATCAATAGGTTTGTTTGCAGGTTTTGAGCATCCATGGAGAGTCAATGATAGTAGTAGTCAATTGTACCGGTAATGGGTCTACAAAGAGGTGTGTTTCATGAGAGTGTGATTAATGAGTGAAGTGGGTCGCCACTATTGTCGTAGTCAATGATAATGGTCAATTGTAGAGTATGAGTGTTGGTGGTTGATGGCGACGTTGTAGTGGATAGAGCTTCCAATGAACGGAGCTTGGCAGAGCATCTCTCGGCAAGTCAACAAAGATCAGAGGGATAAAGAGGAGTAGATCAAAAGAGATCGAAGAGATAGAGACTAGCACAACAGCGACTTTAAAGTTTCAGTTTCCGGGTGGCGACTCCTACCGGGGGGGGGGGGGGGGGTGCTTGAGGTGGAAATCTGTGGCTTTAGGTTTTTAGTTTAGAGAAGATAGGATAGATGGATTTGAGTTGAGCAAATTGTGGCTTCATGTCTAGAAAGGAAGCCACATCAGCTGCAACTGCTTATGTGGCTTATGAAACCTGATATATTAGGTAACAGTGACCAAAAAACCAGGTTGACATTCACTTTATGCCCCCATAAAGCCAAAAAAAAAGAGATCATTTAGACCAGAGCTTGAAACTTCGATGGACAACAATGCCATTTTTCTAAAAAAACACACATAAAATGATTTCATGACTTTTTTATACATGGGACAACGTTTGTAATTCAAAATTCTATAATTTTCAAACTAGGTGGTAATCTCTAAATTTACAAAAGTTAATATTATTTTGTAACTTATACTGACTAATAATAAAAATAACTATGTGCCAAACGACATTTTTCTATACTATTTACTTATATTTTCTCTTTCATTCTATTGATGTCACGTATTCTAATGATGTCACTTGACATGGATAAAATTAATTCTTCATATTTATTTAAAAAACATAAATTAAATAATCTACTAATTATTTTTCATTATATTCTACGAATTAATGAAATAAAAACATCTTAATCTTTTGCAGTTAGTTATAACCGATATAGGATGAGCATATATAACAATCTAAAATGATAAAAGGCTAAAAGTTTGTTATGGTTTATTGTTTAAAGATTTAAATGAAAGAATTAATAGTATAATCCAAATATGATAAGAGTATAAAATAAAAATATATATATATTTAACATGTTAAAATTAAAATATTAAGATTTTTCATGTGTGAATCGTGTTATATCATTTTTAAATAATGGATTTCTATTTTTTTTTTAATATATTTTGGGTAATCGTAGCATATAACACTTCTATTTTAAGTTTATAACCTGGAACTATTGTTTCATAGAATAGAAACTTTACCTTAATCTAAAAAATTGAAATTTGATTACTTATAAGTTTTTTTTGAAAGTTTTACATTTCTTGGAAAAAAAAATTGCATTTCTTAAAAGAAATATCAACTTTTTCTGGAATATTTAATTTAGTTTGATTTTCAAACGAAATAAATAATAAATAATAGAATACAAAAGGATAGAATTTAGTTCCATATACTTTTCCAACCAAATCAGTATTAAAATAAAAATCTAGATTTTAATTACGCAGGATTCTGACAAAATAGTAGCCTAGAAGGTTTGAACTTTGAATATGGATAATGGATATAAGGATCAAGTTTATTGAAGGTCATTTATATTTCAAAAAAAAAAAAATCTGTTTTACTGTAATCACTTTTAGGTATAGAAAGTTTTAAATTTAAAATAATTAAATGCCATCAATCTTTTTCTACACACTAACTTACATTCAGAAAAAGACAATTTCCAGTTGTCGTATGTTTTACGATGACAATAAATAAATATCAAGGACGGTCACTGTCGAATGTTGGTTTGTTTTTGAGAAAACATGTTTTCACACATGGATGGTTATACATTTTCTAGAGTTAAAAGCAAAGAAAGACTTAAATTTTGATTTTAGGTAAAGAAATCAAACTTACCAATATAAGATCAAATGTTGTATACAAAAAAGTATTTACAGATTGTTAAATTCTTTTAGTTCAAGTTTAAACATTATTGTTTAAAATTGTTAGTGTAGTTATGTATTTGGAATAGCATCATACATTAACAATCATACTTCAATATAGTATAGTATTTAAATTTTAAATTTTTTTTATTTAATCAATTTATTTTCATTGTCTGTCTTATAAACTCGTAGTTTTCACGGGTCTCTAGTAGTTATTAATAAAATATATCCACTAAAACTTTAGTGATTATCACATGTATTCAAACATTGGGAAATTATATAAACTAAATTGTGTGATTATCTTAGTATAGTTAAAAATATTTACAATTCGAGATCCATCATATAAAATATCATTCAATATAATAGATTCCAAGATATTTTCAAAGATGCGATCGTGTAGAAACCAAATCAAATAAAGAAATCACTTGCCATTCTCAACCCACTAAGAAACAAGAAAAGACAATCACTCTAAATTTACAAGGTGTCAAGCTCTCATCCTCTCCCTAGCTCGAAACAAACAACATACACCGGAACTTTATTCTTAATCACACATCAAAAGTCGCCACTATATCAATGATCCCATCACTGAACTTGTCAATTCGTAATTATAATGGTATTTGCTACCTATCCAATATTAATTAATTTAGAGTTCGATATTTAAGACACATCAATGGTTTTTCTGTTTATTTTAATGTTTGTTATCGTATTGAATACAAAAAAAGTGCATGTTGAAACTTAAGTCGACTATCCAGTATTATTTAGTTTAGATGTCGATACTTAAGACACATCAAGGGTTTTTCTGTTTACTTTAATGTTTGGTATCGTATTATATACAAAAAAAGTGCATGTTGAAACTTAAGTCGATAGGTATTTATAGTCACACAACCCTATAATATTCAACCATGATCTTATAAAAGTTAAAACAAATTATTTAAGCAACTTAGTTGTACTAAAAAATGCAATATATTGTTAGTATACACATGTCACATCATCAAGGTTTAATTTGATAGGTTAGTCTACTAATTGCGACACTCGATTAAGATGATCAGTGTCATGGGGCAGCACCAAGTGTAAGAAAAATGATTTTGTTCGAAAGGAGTTGTTAGGCAGGTAAAGTGAATAAGCAAAAAATTAACATTTTCTACCTTTTTTTAAGTTGTACTCGAACAAAAACCTTTTAAGTTTTTATTTAAAAAAAACTGTCTTTATAGCGTGTAGATTTTCTAAATTTGTTATATATATAAATCACTTTTAAAATTGATTTAAAAAAAAAATAGAGTTAATTGTAAAGAACAAAGATACATAGCAACAGAAAAGAGATCGGGAATAACAGGCTTATTCATTGACATTGACAACAAATAAAATCTTCGTCTACCCTAATAAATGAAAATGTTTTTTTTGCTAAATGTTATGTTCTCCTTTAGTTTGACACATGTCATTTTTGTAGGATTTTTTAATTTTTTCTTTTTCCACTTGACATTTTCTTGTGCTTTCAATTTTCTTAAATTTAAAAGTAAATTCCACATTTTATGCGGGTTTATTATACATATAATTAAATCCAAAGAGGCTTAGCTACAGTAGAAATTTTGGAGTCGGTGGTTTTTTGAATTGGCTTATATAGCTGGTATTCGCTAGAGTGGAGCTGAGGCTTCATTTACATCGTCATATGATATTCTGTCTACAAGGTCATGCACCCTTCTCTCTTAGTCCACTGATTTTCTTCTCCAATACGGTGTCCACCACCATTTCTATTCCCCAATGGTATTTCTCCAACACACCACCGACTCATAGACCCTGTATAATCATCGGCGTCTTCCTTAATCGGTCTGCTTCTCATAGCCTAAATCCCCCATCTCATATCCCTCTCTGCATATCAGATTGCCACTAACATCGGCAGCGATTGACACTTACTTCTTTCTCTCCTCTTTTATCTTTAATATGAATGAATGTTTTTTTATCTTTTTTGAAATTGAGTAAATGGAATACACTGACCGACTCATGCAAAGCATGTATAGCTACACTAGTTTATATTATGTAGAATCATTAAATAAAATTTCAATAACCATTAAAAAAAAAAAAAAAAAAAAACAACTGTTGTACAACCACAAATTAGGCAATAATCAATTATTCCATAATTTAATATTTATACATCACACTTTTCACTTATACAACAACTTGTTGAAAACAAAAATGTTATGGAATACAATTATAAACAACGAAAATAGTTTTCATAAGCTTTTATTTATTACTATATATGTTGAAAAACTTGTTATATTCATTATATCTGTAATATTTGTGTAAAATTATTACTTAAAAAAAAATACTTGATGCTTATAACTTTATATTCCACCTTTTTTTGATAAACATGTGTAATACACAGATCTCA